AATGGCATTGAATCAATTGGTAAAATTTTCAAAAATTTATTGATATTCATATTTCTTGCCTTCCCAATAGGTGGGGTAGAGGAAGGAAGAGTATTTGAAACTGAAAATAAAAATAAAAAATTTTAAAGATATTGATATTAACTCAATAATAGCAGGAAATTTTAATATGCCTCTCTTAGTGTTGAATAAGTTCAACAGAAAGATAAACAACAAAGAAAACATACTGTTGGATAAACTAAATTTGACTGACCTTTGGTTCGTAACTTCAGCATTAGTCCCAGGGGTGGGGAACCTGCGGCCTTCGAAGCCACATGTGGCCCTCTAGTCCTTAAGTGTGGCCTTTTGACTGAATCCAAACTTCACAATTGTTCTGTATAGTTTGGATTCAGTCAAAGAGCCACACTTGAGGACCTAGAGGGCCACATGGGCCTCTAGGCCGCAGGTTCCCCACCCCGTGCTAGACTCTAGTCTCTTTCACCTTACACATTCAATCAATGGCCAAATATTGTCATTCCTACCTTCACAGTATCTTTCCCATCTGACCCTTTTCTCTACTCACATAGCTAATACATTAGTTTGGGCACTAATCACCTGTCACCTAGATGATTGAAACAAGTCCCTTCCTGCCTCAAGACTCTCCTTACTTCACTCAATCCCACACACTATACCAAAAGTAATTTTCCCTAAATGTATATTTCAAATGCAGGTCACTATTCAATCAATTCCAGTGACTTCTTGTTGTATTGAGGACAAAATATAAACTCCTATTTAGAGTTTTTGAGCCCTTCACCACCTATCCAGAATCTATTTATCTTTCCAGCCTCAGTAGACATTGCTCCCTGTCTCTTTCCCTGTATCCCATCTCCACTGTCATCTGGCCTTCCCGCTCTTCTTCATGGAAGATGTTTTACCTCCATTCTCAGTTCCTGCTTACCCTATGTGCTTGCTGCAGGCTCCCTTCCTACCTCTGCCTCATAAAAATCTTTGGTTTCTTTAAGATACAGAATAAGCGTGGTCTTCTGTGTGAAGGCTTTCTTAAACCCTCCAAAATGTTAGTGCCCTTCCCACCAAATTACTTGGAATTTAACTACTTTGCATATTTGTTAACTTTATATTTATGTGATACATATTTTTCTATGTATTTGCAGTCTTCTCCATTAAAATATAAGCTCATTTCAAGTAGAGATTGTCTCATTCTTTCTACTTAAATCCCCAAAGCCTGCCTAGAACAGTGTTGTTATATACATAGTAGGCACTTAGTAATTATTCGTTGAATGATTGACTTGGAATATTAAATAATACATTTTTTTCCCAGCAACTCTTTGATATCTATAGGTAGCCTGATCATGTGTTCAGATATAAAAGAATCATAAATAAATGTAAAAAGAGAAAAAAATCATCTCTTATAGACTATAATGAGATGAAATTAGCAATAAGTCAAGCAAATATAAGCAAAAAAAATACATCTACAGTCAGTCAAAGAAACAACATCCTAAATAATAACTGAGTCAAAGAACAAATAATAGAAACAACAATTATATTGGATAATGATAATGAAACAACAGGCCAAAAGTAAAGTAGTGTTCCTTAAAAATTTCTTTTGAAAAATTAGAAAAGAATGGATCAATGAGCTAACAATACAATTAGATTCTAAAAACAAATTATCAACCCAAAAATATTCAAAAAACCCTGAAAATTAGGAGAAATAAACTCAAAAATCAAAATGACTCCAGAAAAATAAACAAAATTAAGAGCTTTTTTTAAAAATGCATAAAAATGTTGACAAACTATGACCCAACCCAATTAATAAGAAATAAGAGAGAAAAAGAGAGAGAAACCTCAAATTGCCAATTTTTTAAATTAAAAGATGAATTCACAAGAGGGAGAAAATAATAAGAATGATCAACTCAGTTATATGCTAATAAAAAAGGTAATCCCAAAGATATGGGTATCTACAAAAATAGATAACTTTTATGCTAACAAAAAAAGAAATTGAACTCTTAAACAACCTAGTGTTAGAAAAGGAAATTGAGCAACTCATAAACGAATTACTGAAGAGGGAAAAAAAGATCCTAGGGCAGATGGATTTAACAAGTAAAATCAAAAGTTCAAAGGGCAAATAATAGCTATGCAATCAAGCACTTGTGTCTCAGAAATTGTTTTTAAAATCTGCATTGATCTACCTACACACATAAGGTTATTTGAATATAACTATAAAATACTATTTACAGAAATTAAAAAATGTGGATAGCTTGCTCATGGTTGGCCTTTGTCAATTTAATACAGTAGTAAGACACCTAATTAATTTATAGATTTAGTGCTATATTTTCAGAAATGAAGTGTTTTATTGTCAAATTTTATGCTTAAAACTGAAAACAAAAGACATGAATATCTTTATGACAAGAAGCAAAGCTGAGAAAGAATTATAAAACAATGTCACCAGTGAATATTAGTGCAAAATTTTAAAATAAAATTATTGTAGGAAAATTATGGCAATACTTCCAGAAAATAATTTCCTTTGACAAAGTTGTGTTCATACCAGAGATGAGATTTTTTAAAAGAGAAAGTTAATCATATAAATAAATACAATAAAAACAAATGATAATTTCAAAAAATACAGAAAACAAAATACCGAATCCATTTTTAAACAGAAACCTCAAAAACAAGACAGGCCCTTCTTTAATAGGATCAAAGGAATATGTTTTAGATGAAGTACCCTGAAAAAACACTAGTTAGATGTTTTTTCCAGTATGAATAGCAGTAAAGGAAGGACATCCCTCAATTTCATATTTGCAATTGTTTATAAATGTTTTTTATAGGAATAACATAAGAGAACAAAATCAAAGATACAAACATCATCAAAAAGTAAATAAAACTATCCTTATTTATAGATGGCATGAGAGTACACTTTAAAAACCCAAGAATCAGTAAATAAACTGAGACTGTTAACAATTTCAACATGTTAACTGGAAAGAAAAATCTATAAAAATCACCAATATTTCTACACAATACCAACAAATTCCAATAAGAAATTATGATGGAAATATACCAGCCATATTAAAAGAATTCTAAGAGTACAAATATTTGTCATACCCTGACTTTACAACATTATTTTATTAAAAATGATGAAATAACACCATACAATAGAAATATCCATATCTACTCCATTAGAATTTTTTTTTAAATGTTAGATTGGAATTACAAATAAAATTAGGTAGGTTTCAACTAAACAATTTTAGCTGACAAATTTTCACTTGTTTAAATTTTCCAAAACCATTTCGCTAAAAAAGTAATTATGCTACTTAATCATAATTTCTACAAGCAAAATATTATAGATTTAATGATTATAAAACTACAATTACAGGTATTATATATACTATTATTTATTTTCATGATACAATAAATTAATATGTACACTAGTTATGGATTTTCTTTTACTGAGTTTTAATATTTGTTCAAATTTTATATGCTTGAGGCCTATTTGTAAGACTTTTTTTGTATTTTTTTTTAAGTTATGGGATTCTCAAGCAGGTATCAAATCCATTTTAAAAATTCAAACTTGAAGAACTTTAAAATTGTGCTAATTTTGAACAACAGAATTTGAATATCTCAACAAAAGTCACTGTCAACTCCTTCAACCAAATATTACAACGTGGGGGAGGGAAGAACCTTCTTATCCTTACTCTTTTGCTTTAAGTTAAAACAACCTTTGGCAGGCTAAGCTAAACCTCAATAACTTATGAACATTAATATTTCTAATCTAACTTAACTAAATTCTAAGACCTTCCTTTACCTATTTTTCATCAACTGGAAGAAACTAGTTACTTTTACAAAGTCATCTAGGTTTTGTTTCTGTGTGACCTTAATAATGAGCTATTGAGCTAAAATTCCAATAAAATTTTATTACTATAAAACATAAATGTGGTAATTATGTTCAATTGTGCTATGTAGTAGTGAACTTGCTTTATTCATCCACTATTATCTTCACTTTAATAGAAAGGGGGATGGTACCAAATAGTAGTTAATAAGAAAAATATTAATTTCTACTATAGCAAATTTACATAATTTTCAGTCTGATTTGGGGAAACTGACAGCAGCACAATTTGTTTTAGCTTCCATAACTAGCATTTATATAGTTCTTTAATGTTAGCTGAATTATGTATACTATCACATTTAATCTCCACAACAACTCAGTTGGTGCTATTATTATTATTCCCATTTTACAGATAAGGTTGAGGTCACACAGCTAGTAAAACATCTCAGGCAGATTTGGACTCTTAAGATCTTCCTGACACTAAATCCACTCTATCTACTATGCAATTTTATTTCTCTTCTAAATAAATGAATATACATTTAATTTCTCCCCACCTTTTCCCAATGGAACTATCCAATTCCCATGAATTAATGTCTAGGTGTGAGCAGGGACTGGGCAAAACAAAAATCTTAAAAGTTTGTGTATCCATGGCATTTAGCACAGAGCCTGGCATAATTCTTATTGCCTAAATGGTTGTGTGTATTAAGTTTCTAGTCTTTTCCTATAAATTGAGCCTTAGTAAATGTTAAAGGCAATGCAGAAGAACCTTATATATTACTATAAAGTTACTTGAACTTTTTTTTCGAGGAATAAAAACATGAAGCTAAACAAAAGAAAATTCCAGAACAGAGAGGGGGGTGGGGTAGTGGAGGAAAGATTACATCTACACTTCCCTTTCGGGCACTTTTTCCTCTTTGCACAATCCAGTCTCTTCAAAGTAGTAATAAAAGTTTTATGTATCTATGTTATGTATACACAAATGCCGCCTTCAAAAAAAGCTATATACCCAACCTAGAGAGTTAGGAGCAGAACCTCCTCTGACAGCTTCCAGGGAAAAAAAAGGAATTTAAAAAGAATCCAACATCCGCAGCAACTCCCCCCACCGTCAACCACCACACCAACCACGGAACCAAACTCAGGGAGGAAGGGTGGGGACAGAGGAGGAGGGGAGAAGGTTCAGTCTTACCTGACTGTAGGTAGAGAAACAATGGGAGGAGAGCACGGCCAATGAAGAGAAGAGGAGTAAGGGCAAAGCTTCCCAGGGCTGACTTCTCCTCACCCACTGCCTAGATGCTCTCCAGGATGGCCATGGGGAGAGGGGAAGTAAAGAGATCTGGTTCACCAAAGTACTGCCTTTCAGACTCACAGTTCGAATTCTCCTGCGGCTTATGACACCGTAGCTTCTCCTAGCTCGGTTTCCGGGCAGTGGCAGCCTCTTTCGCCCAGTGCGCCGACTTGAGTTCTCAAAAGAAAAGCCCAAGACACAGGACCAAGCCCCGCCACCGCAACAACTTTCAGCAACACCCTGACCCCCTGTGCTCTTCGTCACTTTGTGCTCCGGGTTTGCAGGACACCAATCCTCCTCGCTTCCTCATTTTCAGTGACTTCCTTAATGCATCTTGAGAGAAGCAACAAACTTCCTTTTTTATTCTGAGCTACTTTTGTCTCACTCCCTCTATCCCCTTTTCTCTTCCCCTTAGTGGTCTAAGCCTTTCCTTCTATTTGCCTAGTTCAGTGCGAGGTCTTTCGGCCAAATTGGGGTCTCACATATTCGATTACCAAAGTGCAGAAGATACCGCGGGGCTGTCCTCTGCACCAAGAAGAGCCCTCTGGGCAGAACTCTACCAGCCAGAGCTTGTAAGCAGCTGAATGAACAGGTTACTGGTGTGGAAAGTGGCAGAGGGGTGGTACCTGTTTGAAACAGTCCAAAACGCATTCAGTGTTCCAGGAGTCTGTGCAACCATTTTGCACGTAGAGAAAACCTAGGAGGGAGTGTGGGAGATAGAATGGGGCTAGAAGAAAGGATCTCCCCTTTTTAGAAGCAGGATTTCCCTTTTTTGGAAGCATAGCCTGCCTTGGAACCCCCGGGAGTGTGGATACCCCACATTAGACAATGATTGCTTTGATTCAGTATGTACAAGTAAAAGGCAAGTGAGATGAAAATAAATCAATGGAACAGTGAGGGAAAGGGTGAGTATTCTTGAGTGCCTTTGAAAACAGTGCACGTTCTTGGGGATAAATTCTTTTTTACGCTAGAGGACAAAATAACACAAGAATGGATCTGGATCTCAAAGTAGCTTTCTGGTATCCTGAATAGAACACCACAGGGATTCTGAGAACTGGGAGTCACTATGCAGGGATGGGGAACCTGCGGCCTTGAGCCCACATGTGTCCCAACAAATTGCCTCACGTTCCCCACTCTTGGATCCTAGTAACAGCTATAAGTTCCATGAAGTTTGGATTCAGTCGAAGGGCCGCACTTGAGGACCTAGAGGGCCACACATGTCCTCGAGGCCTCAGGTTCCCCACTCCTGGATCCTAGTATGACTATATGACTGGATAAAACCAATACCCTCTCTGAGGTTCATTTTCTTCATCTGTAAAACCTGTTTTTAAAAAAGGGAGGGGGGAGTGTAGTAGAAAACCTCAAAAATCCCTTACATTTCTAAATTCTGGCAAGGGTTCTTAACTGGGTCTGCTGACTCCAAATAGACTTCTGGAAGAGATATCTCTTTCTAGCTCTTCCTGGTAGCTTGGCTTGTAAAATTACAATAATGCCAATGATTTGTGAAATTACTTTGTATCCCAAAATGTTAATGAATTTATTAACTATTTCAATTAATTTTTGGTTGGCTAGTTTTTCTAAATTATCATACCACCTGCAAAAGGTGATCATTTTATTTCTTCTTTGCCTATGCTTATTCTCTTATTCGCTATAGTTAACATTTTTAGCACTATCCCCTGATATTCCTAGAAAGGCTTCTAACTTTTTTTCTCCATTTCATATAATGTTAGCTCTTGGATGTGGTAGACATTATTTACTATATTAAGGAAAGGTCCATTTATTGCTTATCTTGCTTGACTTTTTAAAGAAATTAGTACTAGGTTTTATCAAAAGCCTTTTCAACATATATTGTTATCAATTTTTTAAAAATTATTTGTTGTTATACATTTATAAACTTCTTTATGTTGAACCAACCCTACATTTCCAGCATAAATTCAATCTGGTCATAATGTATAATCTAATATGTTATTAATGCCTACTTGTTAATTTATGTAATATATTTGTGTTAATGTTCATTAAGTATCTTATAGTTTCCTTCCTCTGTTTTGTCTCTCCCTGTTTTAGATTTTAAGACCATATTTGAATTATAGAAATAAATTAAAGGGTATCTTCATTTCTTATAATTTCTAATAAATTATGTTATATTAGAATTAATAACTTAATATTTCACTTATTTAAATAGTCTTTTAGTGATTTGGATTTTTTTTTGTAAATGTTCATCCATTTGCTCTGCAGTATCAGTTTTGTTAGCATGTAATTGCACAAAATGATTTCTGATAATTTATTTTCTTTCCTCTTCAATTATTGAGAGATGTCCTTTTACATTTTCAATTCAAGTAATTTGATTTTCCTTTCTCTTTTTTAGCTCCATTTAGCTTTTTAAAAAAAATTTGTGGAATAAAACAAGCGTTTCTATTCAATAAAAAGATGATTGTACATGAAACTGCAAGTCTACTATGCACAACTTCCTATTTCTTTAAAATATACAACAAAATTACCAAGTAAATTTTTTTTCCTTTTTTTCTTCCTTCCCCCTAGAGATGGCTGCCATCAGACACAAATATGTGTGTGTACACAAATATAAATATAGACATATATATGTATTCACACACATTCATATGCATATACATAGATGTGTATATATACATATACCCATATATATGTGATTATTCTACATGTACTTCCATTTATGAGTTCTTTTTTTTTTTTTAGGCAATTGGGGTTAAGTGACTTGCCCAGGGTCACACAGCTAGTAAGTGGTCAAGTGTTTGGTCTGAGGCCGCATTTGAAAGCAGATCCTCCTGACTTCAGGGCCGGTGCTCTATCCACTGCGCCACCTGGCTGCCCCCTATGAGTTCTTTCTATGTCTGCAGATAGCACCTTTCTTCAAATTGGGTATTCATAATAGACAAAATAACTTATTCACTCAAAGTCATTCTTAAAACAATATTGCTGTTACTATATACAATGTTCTCTTGGTTCTCCTTATTTCGCTCTTCATTATTTCCTGAAAGTCTTTCCATATTTTTTTTAATCATTGAGCTCATCATTTCTTATAGTACAGTAGTATTACCTTACAATGATATACCACAATGTGTTCAGCCATTCCCCAAGTAATAGGCATTCCTCCAATTTCTAGTTTTTTGCCACCACAAAGAGAACTTCTATTAACATTCTAGAACATGGCTTCCTAAACTTTTTCCACTCATGACTTCTTTTGGCCTAAGAAATTTTTACACAACCCTGGGTATATAAGTTTATAAAATAGGTATGAAATCAAACATTTATTGAAAATAAATCATAAAGAAATTTATTTTAAACCAATACTTTGGCATATATATAATTTTACCATTTATTAAAGATGAAAGCAAATTTGCATAGTTAATGAAATGGATGTGCTTGTTTATTTTTACATAAAGAATTAAATCTTGGCAGAAAATTTGATACTGTAGAATGCAGAGCATCTTCAACACTTTTCAAAATTAATCAACATTTTGATTTTATAATCATCTAAGGTGAGAATGCCGCTTCACATAAATACATAGTACAAAATGGCAGAAGTACGTTTAGGGCCATTTCAGAAATTGTTGGAAATTCTGTCCTAATCTCAAGCTAAAATTAATTTAATAATTTTGAATGTACAGTAAAAAAATAACACTGCAATTCATAACATACAATAGTCTCAAATCTGAGCCGAGATGTTTCTGGCAGCATGCGTTGGCATTGAATGGCTTGACAACATACACAGGGCAAAATGTGCATGTTGTATGTTCAGAGCCAAGGCTACAATGAAGTTGCATCATGCAACATGGGCAAGGGCTTCCAGAAACACCTCAGATTCATTACATGTTTGAGTTTGAATTAATTTCTAGTCGCTGCATGTTCAGAAACTTTTTTCTGTTGCCAAATTTTTTGTGATCTTATGTGGGGCCACAACCCACCGTTGAAGAAGTGTTTGGAAATAGACCAAGCAGTGGTATTGCTGGGTCAAAGGGTACAGGTAGTTTAATAACTCTTGGTACATAATTGGTCGAATCTATAAGAAGTCAAGTCGCTCCCCAACTGATAAATGGTCAAAGGATATGAACAGGCAGTTTTCCAATGAAGAAATCAAAATAATTTATTGTCATATAACAGTGCTCTAAATCATTATTGATTGGAGAAATGCAGATTAAAACAACCTTGAGAAATGATTTTACATCTACCAGACTGGCTAAAATGATAGAAGGGGAAAGTGACAAATGCTGGAGTGGATGTGGAAAAATTGGGATACTAATTTGTTAGTGGAATCGCGAACTGATCCAACCATTTTGGAGAGCAATCTGGAATTGTTTCCAAAGAGTTATTAAACTACCTATACCCTTTGAGCAAGAATATCACTCCAGGTCTATTTCCAAAGACGATTTAGGGAAAAAGGAAAAGAACCTATATGTTCTAAAATGTTTATAGCAGCTCTGTTTAGCAGACGTGAATAGGAAGCTGGCCAGATCACATCCCTGGAGTCACTTGAAATTTAAGAGACTGCTGAGAATGGATCTCTTCTGCATGAGACTGTTCTTTCTCTCCAGTTTGAGCTTAGAGTTTATTTATCCCTAAATGAAGAGTTTATTCCTTTTTATGTATTATTTGGTAGATTATAATCTGCAAAGCTCTAATTTCTGTTTGCTGTTTTTCTTAGGTAAATGGATTTATTTGATATTAGCAATTTTCAATGATCTTTTGTGTAACCGATGTTTGGTGTGAAGGAACTAAGTTTGGAGGTGTCAACTAGACCAAACCTCTTTGCCTGATGAGGCCTTAGCCAAACAGACTGAGCAGGCAAGAACAACTAAAACAGAAATTTGCTTTCTACAGTGAGGTAAATAGCTTGCAAGCAAGGCAGGAAACTAGACATATATGTCCCCCACCCCTTCCCAGTGGAGGAAACCATTTTAGTGTGGGCAAACCTCAATATTTATACCAATGGCTACACAGTGAGCTGTATAGCCATGACAATGTGACAATGAGAGGTAACAACAACAATGAGAAAAATTTGATGCATAGCCGGGCTTCATGACTGGAACATGGGTACTGTAGATACTTGTCTAAGCTCAAGGAACACCTGGTGCTGGTCAAAGCAATACAATAATTATGTGAAACAATTCTGGGATTTTGCTGTTGCTGAGTTCATTCAGAGGGCAAGTGCAAAGGATTGTTGTTATGCTAAGCTCAGGGCACAGCTTACTTGCTGGGCCTTAGCTGCGGAAAACAAGGTATTTC